CCCCCCCCACAAATAGAAGCACCTATTAAATCAGTTCACCTATGGGATTAATTCCCTTTTACAAGGTTAGAAAAGAGACTTACCTCGGCTTAAAGCCCACTTTCCGATTATAATTTTGCTCTAAAGACTCAACTTGGTGCCGTTCAATCCGTAACTAGTCAAACAACGTGCAAATTAATAAAAAATATACTCCAATGCTTGAAATTTAAATATTTATGAAAATACCGAACTACACTCGAAAAGTTAACAGTGGGGCCCATGTCTCAGAACCTGACGAAACTCACAAAATTCGACAACCCATTCTGATACGAGTTCAACCATATCAATTTTATCAAATTCTGATAACAACTTGACCTCCAAATCTTAAATTTTCGTTCTTGAAAAGTTTTGCAAAAATCTTGATTTCTTCCATTTAAATCTGAAATAAATGATGAATATAACTATAGAATCATGAAGTATAATCACTTTCGGATATAGAACACTTACTCCAATCCATATGGTGAAAATCGTCTGAAAAATCGCTTCAATCCGAGCTCTATAGCTCCAAATATGTTAAAAATGGTTGAAACCTCGAAATATAACTTTTGCCCAGGTATTTACTCTTCGCGATCGCGAAAAATGCTTCGCGATCGTAAAGCACAACTTTTCTTAGCCCAAAATTTTCCCTTCGCGATCGCGAAGAACAGGTGTCCAGCTCTTCTAGATAGCCTCTAGTATAATAGTCATAACGTTTTTTACAAAACTCCAAATTGCAAATGGCTTAACCTTTTGAAAACTAGACACCAAGGGCTACAACTTTCATGCTTTACTTATCTCCCAGTTACTTATAGATTACGAGATATAAGCTGCCAAAATCAGTCCTGTGCGGCACAAATTTCTTCTTTGTGATTTTCAAACTCTTTCCGGATAGGCTGTAGCGTACCAATCATAACTTTTTGTACACAACTTTCATTTTTGGATCATCTCCAAATTCCTTATAGGTTGAGAGATATAAGCTTTCCAAGCCGGGTTAGTGCTGCAGAAAGTTTCCTCTATGCGATCGCGAAAGGTCTTCTGTTATCGCAAATCACTGGTCAATTTCTCCCATTTTACTCATCGTGATCGCGTCCAATTCCCCGTGATCGCATAGCACACTGATGTAGCAAAAAACAAGCAGTTAAAATGACCTAGAAATGATCCGAAACCATCCTGAAACTCACCCAAGCCCCTCGGTACCCCGTCCAAACATACCAACAAGTCTCAAAACATAACACAGACTTAATCGAGGCCTCAAATAACATCAAACAACGCTAAAAACACTAATCACACCCATAATTCAAGTCTAACGAAACTAAGAAATTCTAACTTCTACATTCGATGCTGAAACCTATCAAATCAATTCTGATTGACCTCAAATTTTGCACACAAGTCATAGACATTACGAACCTACTCACTTCAAGAATCGGAATCCGACCCCGATATCAAAAAGTCCACTTCCGGTCAAACTTCCAAAAACCTTCAACTTTCAACTTTCGCCAAACGACCCCGAAATGACCTACAGACCTCTGAATCTACATCCGGACGTGCTCCTAAGACCAGAATCACCATACAGAGCTATTCCCACTCTTAGAATCCCAAACGGAAATTGATAACATTAAAATATACTTCAACCCAAACTTATGAGATTCTTTCAAAATGCTAATTTTCCATAATAAACACTGAAATGCTCCTGTGTCACCCAGAACTCGATCCGGACATACGCCTAAGTCCGAAATCATCATACGAACCTATTGAAACTTTCAAATACAGATTCCGAGGTCGTTTACTTAAAAGTCAAACCTT